TGTGTGTGTGTGTGTGTGTGTGTGTGTGTGTGTGTGAGTGTTTACAGTTTTAAGCTGGTGTTTACATGCACTGAATTCAAACATCATTTAAAGGTTCTGAGTGTTCAAAGTGATGATGGTTCTGGTTCTGTGTTTCTGACAGATGCAGGAACRTCAGCTGATGTCAGGACTCCAGCTCAGCTGTCACAGGCTGTGATAAGACACTCGACTGTGTTCAGTCATCAGATATGTCCATCAACGTCCTCCTGAGATGGACCATCAGGTAACACCACTGTTCACATTCTACATACTGATAATTCACAACCATCATCTCAGGCAAGATCAAAATCAAAAGGTCCAGGTTAGTCCGTTACTGTTCATCTTTGGGCCTCTTCAGGGGGTCTCCACAATGAGTCCTCCTCCATCTCATTCTGTCCTCAGTCTAACTACCTCCATGTCCTCTGTAACTGCATCCATTTATCTCCTCTTTGTCTTTTTCCTCCAGCTACATCTCTAACATACATCTACCAATATACCCTGTCCCTCCTCTGGACATGTCCAACCCATCTCAGTGTGGTCTGTCTAACTTTGTCTCAGTTCTTCAACCTGTTCTGTACCTCGGATKATCTTATTCCTAATCGTCTCCATCTTTGTCTCTCACAAGGAGAACCTCAGCATCTTCAGCTCTGACACTTCCAGTTCTGTCTCCTGTCTTTTTGTCCACATCTCTGTCTCCCATTCTTACAACAAAACTAGTCTCAGTACTCTCTTATCAATATGGAACAATAATATCTTTAATCTAAGATGTAATTGGTTGTTGAGAGTTTTGTATGTTAGAAGCAATATTYTGAATTTGACAGGGAGCCAGTAGAGAGATGCTAAACTAGAAATGTGATTTATCCGTTTTCCTCACATCAGAAGTCTGACAGCAGAGTTTTGGATGGATGTGAACACTAACAGAGTGTTTCTGTCTGTAGGTCACAGAGGAAACCTCTGGCCACATGTTTAACCCATCAGAGAGCGTTGTCAGGTGCAGAGGCTGTTAATGCGCTACGACCTTTTTACTTCGCTGTCCATCCAGACTTTTTTGGTCAATATCCCAGAGAACGGGTAAGTCGAATTTATATGTTTTTATTTTTCCCAAGACAATCAGGTGACTTATGACAGTAAACTGGGCTTATTGATGTGTGGCAGTTATTTACCGCTAATAAAGATCAAGTCTTTAAACCCGATTGTTTCTGTGTATCAAAGTTTTATTAGTGAAACAGTAACATTTCTTCATGAAGCCCTGGRCCAGTTTTAATGAAACTTTCAGAAAGTAACCACTGACTGTAGATCTACCACTGTTTCAATTAGKGAGTCAACCCAATTCAAGATGGCCTCCTCCATCATCTGACACAAAACACAATGATGACTTTAACTTAGTCAGCTTTGCAGATATCAACCTGAATCTTTCTGTGGTAGTAACTGATTGTTATTCACTACACAAATTGTGTAACAGCCCACAGTATTGCATGAGACTGTGGAAATGCTAGGCCCGTAAAAATACTGTTAATAAGAATTAATCCTTTTATCATCCTTGCTGTAATTGCACACAGGGCTGTAAAGTAACTAAGTACAAATACTATACTACTACTGTACTTAAGTAGAATTTTTGGGTATCTGTACTTTACTTGAGTAATTATTTTTCAGCCTACTTTTTCTTCTACTTCTTACATTTTCACACAATTATCTGTAATTTCTACTCCTTATACTTTAAAAAAAGGCAAGAAATAGAAAGTTACTTTTACTTTATTTTTGCTTATTTTCATTCCAGCTTGTTATTGTAAAAATTCCGATAACGTATTATTTTGTACACACTCCAGCAGGACATATATATACCATTTCCTGTTAGAGGAAGAAGAGACCAAGATGTTAATTGTCTGAATGCTTA